TGATCATATGGCTAATCTAGTTAATGCCTATGTCAGTTTATATCACTCTAATAGCAAGCTGTTCCCTACCAGTCTTGGTGACAGCTACCCACACTGCCCTTAATTGAACATATTGGGCTGACTTTCCATCCCCTTCTTCAGTCACCAGTAGATGAGTTGAGAGTGGGCTGTCACCACTATACACTTTGTGGAGTGAGAATAGCAATTCCATTATGAATCATGCATTGCTTTTGTCCTTTAGCTCTTGTCAGGTTAGAGACCACACTGCAAGAGGTTTGCCCACTTGAATAACATCCCTCTCTGGTAGCTTAGTTAGCATGTTAACGGTATGGGCTGATACCTCCTACTGGCTCTATCAGTTATAAGCCATTTCCATTTCAACATTGACTGAGTGGTGACAGTTCCAACATGTTTTTGGAGGGGAAAGAAGGTTATGGCCCATGATAGTATGGTTATCAGTATTATCTAATCAATGGATCTTAGTCCAAAATCCTACTGGCATGTAACTTTTCTCATTATTCCTTTTTGTCTTGGTCCACAAAGACCAAGTCATAAAATTTCCCTTGTAGCTGCCTTCTAGTCTAAAAGAGGGATCTGAAGAAATTGTGACAAGGGTCGTGGCATGATGTTCTGTGTCCTTCACTTGTTCTAATACATGATATTCTTTTGGTCCCCATTTGAAATTTTTAAATTCCCTTGTAACTTCATACATTCTTGCATTATACCCAACTGTAGAATGTATTTCTGCAGAAACTAAACAATTCAACTAGTTTCTGTGCTTCCTTCTTGTCCTTTTGGGTGTTTTAAGGCTGAGATCTTTTTTCTACAACTGGTTGAGGGATTGACACTTCCTCCTATGTCCACATCATCCCTAGACATTGGACTGGTGATTTGTCCTCTCTGCACTTTTTGTAGGGCAGCTCTCCACCTTCTATCAACTAATCCTTCAGTAACCATATTTGTAACTTTCTGTCTCCTGCTTATCACATATCCCCTGACTAATATGTCAGCTATATAATGTGTCTATTTTGTCTGATCTACACAAATTATGGCATGGCAGCTAGGTGGTACAGTGAATAGAATGCCAGGCCTAGAGTCAAGAACACTCATCTTCATGAGTTCAAATCTGGCCTCAGACACTTAACTAGCTGCGTGACCATGGGCAAGTCACTTAACCTTGTTTGCCTCAGTTTCCTCATCTGTAAAATGAACTGGAGAAGGAAAGGCAAACTATTCCAGTGACTTTGCAAGAAGATCTCAAATGGCCAAAGAGATCATACAAATGGGAAAAGGACCCACACGTATAAAAATATAGCAGCTCTTTTGTGGTGTCAAAGAATTAGAAATTGAGAGGATGCCCATATATTGGGGAATGGCTGAACAAGTTATGGTATATGAATGTAATGGAATACTATTGTGCTATAAGAAATTATGAACAGGTCTGATGCTGAGTGAAGTAAGCAGAACTAGGAGAATGTTGTATGCAATAACAGCTACATTGTGCAATGACTAATATTGATTGACTTAACCATTCCCAACAATACAGAGATCTAACACATCTCTAAAAGCCTCGTGATGGAAAATGCTATCCACATCCCAAAAAAGAGCCATGGAGTTTGAAAGCAGATCGAAGCATACTATTTGCTATTTTTTTCTTCTGTTGTTTTATTTCCTCTTTTTTGTGGTTCCTCCTATTGGTTCTAATTCTTACTCTAATGTGAAAATATGTTTAATTGGAATGTAAATGTATAGCCTATATCAGATTGCGCACTGTCTTGGGGGGGGAAGGGGAGAAAAATTTAAAACTCAAAAGCTTGTGGAAGTGATTGTTTATAATTCAAAATAAATTAATTAAAAGTTTTTTTAAAAAATCCTTCCGAAAAAAAAGAAAATCCCAAATGGGGTCACAAAGAGTTAGACATGATTGAAAACAACTGAACAATAAAATAGGCTATTAAGATATCCTTGTGGCAAGCTACAAATATATATGCTGTACTCCCTATCATGTGATAAAAAAAATGTGATAAAAAAAAATTGTACCTGGCTTTCTTCAGCCACAGGTATCACAAAGAACATTAATACTTAAATCAATAACTGAAAATCAAGGTCCATCATGTCATTTAATTTCATCAATAGTTTCTTAAATATTTGGAAGGGATTTGTTAATAGGTTGAGTCTGAGCATTAAGTTTTATATAGTCAACTGTAAGTCTCTACTCATCACTAGCCTTTTTACATGCCAAACAAGAGATCAGTATGCATTAATTGTTTTCTTAATTATGCCTTTCTGTTCCAAAACTTCCAATATTGTGGTGATTTCCTTATTGCCTCCTTTGATTCTATACTTTTTTTTAATAAAAGGGGAATGAGTTCAGAGGAAGTGCCACCACCAAATCTACCTGAGTTCAAAGATACAATAACCAAAATAGCAATGAAATAGGCTAGAGGTGGGTGAGAGGGCAGGTGGAGGAGATGGTGGATTCTGCCTCACTAGAAGTATCTTCATGCAGAAAGTAAATGATCTCTTAGCTTTCTTGAAGAGAGCTTTCTTATTCAGATATGTGTGATACTACATGGTCTCTGGGGCAACTAGGTGGTGCAGTGGATAGGGTGCTTGGCCTGGAGTTAGGAAGACTCACTTTCCCGAGTTCAAATCCAGCCTCAGACACTTATTAGCTGTGTGAACCTGGGCAAGTTATTTAGCCCTGTTTGCCTCAGTTTCTCATCTGTAAAATGAGCTGGAAAAGGAAATGGCAAACCATTCCAATATCTCTGCCTAGAAAATCTCAAATGGAATCAAGAAGAGTTAGACACAACTAAAACCAAACAGTTCCTTTCTAGCCATGATACTTATTAACTTTGTAATGTCTGCAAATGTCTGGGTGTTCAGTCATTGACCTCCATGACCTGTCAGGTCCCTTCCAGCTAGGAGATTCTAGGACTTAATGGTTTTTCTCATTTCTCACTGATTTGCTGTGTCTTTCCCCCTCAATACCATTGCTTATATTCTAATATACAAAAAGTTACATGGTACTATCAGTATAGATACCTCCTCCTTCAAATATCATTCTTATATTTAAAAAAAAATCAAGATTTCCCCTGAAGAATAGTGTTTAAATAGTTTATCTTTTTTTGTGAGGCAATTGGGGTTAAGTGACTTGCCCAGGGTCACACAGCTACTAAGTGTCAAGTGTCTGGTCTGAGATTGGATTTGAACCCAGGTCCTCCTGACTCCAGGGCATTTATCATTTTTATTTTTACAATTAAGAAGCATTTTTAAAATTAATTTGTTTCTCCACCTCCTCTACCCTCTCCTCAGAGCAAAGAATAATAATTTTTTAAAAACATACAAAATAAATCTTTCAATACATATTGTACCACAAAACATATTCCCACATTAGCTATGTCCAAAAGTACATGTATCTTTCTGCATTTCAACTTCATCCCCTCTATTAATAGGTAAATGTACGTTTCATTTTGATTATTTTGGAGTAATGATTTATCATTGCTTTGATTAGCATTCTAAAGTGATTCAAAGTTCCTTTTCTCTCTAATGTTTTTGCTGTATAAATCTCTCTATTAGGGCCATTAAAGCTCTCACCCTCATATCCTCAATGCTACTTAGAATAGTACCTTGCACGAGTGTGAATTTAAGAAGTGTCTGTTGAATTGAACTCAGTACCCTGTGAAGCTCTGGCATGGAAATTCCAGCTTAAGTGTGAACTCAGCCCTGGCAGCTCCAACTAAAGCAGAACCCAGGTCATCAAAGGTGTTAAGAAGGTCATACATTCTAGGTGTGAACCAGAGAGGTGGAGTCTAGGTTTTCCAGAGGGGTATAAAAGGGTCAGGTCAGAGCCTGACTCCTAGAAGATCAATTCTATAGTTGCAGACTCTGAAGGCAACCCAGATCTGTGGAAGTAAAGGTAAGTTTCCTGCTTTGGAATTTTTTTTCTTATGTTCAAGCAGTAACTCCTATCCAAGAAAAGCCATAAAGGTTGCTTATTCCAGGTGAAGGAGTATGAAGCCACAGGCTCAATCAGAGAAAAGAGAAGATATTAGAGCTGAGAGTGTCCCTGGAGAGTTTCAGGCTTACCTAAAGACAGAGCCACTTTTGTTCAGATTATAGCAAAATTGTGTTTTTTTCCTAGCCCCAGGTTTGGTTACAAAAATGTCATTTAGTTTTGTTTTTCACTAATCTGATGATTGACTTCTTGCCTTAAAATCAGGCTTTTGAGAGATTTAAGATTTGCTGAACTTCCAAGTCCTAAATGTAAAATGAGGAAATTGGCTAACATGCTCTCTTTGGCCTCTTCCAGAGCAGATGACTGAGAGGCTATTGATGGTGAGCCTCTGTGTCTGAAGAATAAGGCCATAGACTAGGTATGAGACCAGGATAACTTGAAGTTTAAAACTCATGTCACAAAGTTGGACAAAGACTAATGTGAAAGTGTTACTAAATGATCCTTAAATGCTTGTTAAACACAGCTGTTTCACCCTTAATATTTACAAAGAATATTTGGAATTGTAAGGAGGGTTGGAGTTTTGAGAATTTCAGAGGATGTCTGGGCAGATGCCTCTTTTTTAATCTCTGATTATTATCTCGAGGAGAACCTGGGCATAGATTAGACTTTGTGGTTTAAGGGGAGGGGTAGAAGCAGAGGAGACAACTTAATCCATGAGGAGGGAGGCGGGCTTCCAGGTTCACTGCAAGGGCTGATTCTGACTATTGGTGGATTCAGGGAAGAAAGCTTGAGGTTTTCAACCACAGATGCTTGAACGTTTGGTTTTTAATCCGTGATGGCCTAGTCCATTCACAAATTCACCATTGCCTTTTCCTCTCTTCATCCTGAGTAAAATGCTGCTTCTCTTTCAGAGAAGGTGAGGAGCTGAAAGTAGCCAGAGGACCCCAGGAGATAAATAAGAGCAAGCAGAGAAGGCTGAGGACCTATTCTCTATCACTTGAGGAGAAGACTGAATTAGTCTTTGTTTCTGCTGAAGAACATGGCTGCAGCTCATTTAGCTGAAAACCTCCAGGAAGAGCTCACCTGCCCTGTGTGCATGGACTACTTCAGTCAACCGGTGACCTTAGGCTGTGGCCACACCTTTTGTCACCTATGCCTCCTCAGGAACTGTGGAGAAGCTGACCAATCCTCTCCTTGTCCCGAGTGCAAAAGAACCTTCCATTTGAGAGACTTGGAGCGCAATCTTTGTCTAGAAAAGTTGGCCAGCATAGCCAGGAAGGTCAAACCCTGTTTGCTGAAGATTAAAGAGGAAAACACTAAATGTAATAGACACAAGGCAGAGCAAAATCTGTTCTGTGAGGAAGACCAAGCATTCCTTTGTGCATTTTGCTTTCAAACCCCAAAGCACAGCAGGCACACAGTACGCCCAATAGAAAAGGCTGCAGAGGATTCTAGGGTAAGTATTTCTATGGAGAAGCAATTCAAAAGGGATTGCATTCCCTCATTCCCACTGGTTCTTTTGAACCAATAACTTGTGTCAAATATAACCGGGCTGGAGGCTGTGGATCTCCTGAAGTAGCTGCATTAGCAGGACCTTTTAGCTCCAAGGCCACACACAGCAATAGGCTCTCTTACTGTCTCTGGCCTCTATGATCTTATATGGTGGGACTTTGCCGATCTAGCATAGGGAAGGGCATAATATACGAATTGATGATGGTGTTGCCTTAGGACAAACTCCAAAAGATTTCGGATCTTCGCTGGAAAGAAATGGAGACAATTGAGAAGATGCTGACTGAAGAGAGGCAGAAAGAAAATAGTTGCAGGGTAAGTGTCTTGAGTCCCTTTGGATTGGAGTCAGAATCTTTAGGACAGTCTACAGCTCCAGGGACTTCAGCACAATCCCAAGGGAAAGTTTGTAGGCTTTCTTTCTGGGAGTAGATATTCAAGACAATCTTACCTCCTAGAAGCTTTAAACTACAGAAAAGGTTATTCAGGAGAAGCACTGGGCCTTGTGGTTTTGTTGGAAATTAGTGAATGAGGAAATTCCAACACAGGTCTGTCTGCAACTTCTCTGAACTTTCGGTCTTAGAGAGTTGCCCGGTTGCAGAGGTGTTCCATTCAAGGTCAATTGGGCAGGAAGAAGCCCACAAAATTCCTGAATTCAGCTGAACCAAATTAAAATGTAATTGGGAAATATTTAACCAAAAAAAAGAAAATATAATACAACATAGATAATGTGAATTTGAGGTTTTCTAAGTCACTATGCAGCCAGCAGGGGATCTGTTTCTATTTGATTTTAATACCATTGCCCTAGACCATCGAAAGGTTAAGAGATTTATACAGGTTCACCAGGATATCATGCATCAGAGGTAGGATCTGGTAGGCCAGGTCTTCCTGACTCTGAAGCCATCTTTTTATCCACTACATCAACAGATGTCTCAAATTAGAGAGTAATAAAATATTAATATGGGGGCAGGTAGGTGGCACAGTGGATAGAGCACTGGCCCTAGATTCAGGAGGACCTGAGTTCAAATCCAGCCTCAGACACATAACACTTACTAGCTGTATAATGCTGGGCAAGTCACTTAACCCCATTGCCTAGCCAAAAAATAAAATAAAATATTAATAAATATTAAATAAAATATTAATAAATATTAATAAAATAAACACTTATTTATGCATGAAGTCTTACTGATGAAGTGGAGAAAGGGCCATGTTTTCTTTTGGACAATGATTGAGAGACTTTTGAACCTTATCAGACTAAGCTATCTCCCTTGTAGATAAAGGGCCAAGCTCAAAGGGAGAGTATGGCACAGGAATACAGAACATTCCATGAACTGCTGATGGAAGAAGAGGAGTGTCATCTTGAAATGCTGGCCAAGCAGGAAAATGACTACCTGAAGAGTATAAAAGAAAGTAAGGTCAGACTCTCCCAACACCTTCAAAGCTTGGAGGAGGTGATCTCGGAGATAGAACAAAATTACCAGAAACCCAATGTCCAGCTTCTTCAGGTAGGACCTTAAAACTATCTAATAATTCCGTAACACTTGACTTACCTAGCTCCCCAAGATCTCCAAAGCCTGGCAAAGAATGAGCAAATAAGGGATGAAATTAATCGTGGAATGTAGGAAAATGGTTGCTTCCTAGTTTAGAAAGAATTCTAACACACTTGGTCCTCAGGATTCCAAGGGTATAGTAGATAAGGAAAAGATAATTATTTAGGGGTTCTCTTAATGTTGAGTTGGAAATATGAGTCTAAAAACAAGACAGCTGACAAATTTAAAAAGCTCTCAAAAACAAAAACAAAAACAAAAACAGATTTCCTAATTGAAAAAGTCTTGTAGACCATGAGTATAAAGGCAAATACCTGTATAGACGCTTCAGTAGATCTGGACGGCTCATAAAACTCTTCCTAATAATGCTGATATGTCACCCAAAAAAAAATATTAAAATATAATGCATGTGCTCTGTTTCAGAAGGCAGGGATCTAAAGCCTAAGTTTTTGCAAAACTTAAGAGAAATATTTTAGAAATCAAACTTAAGCATGTAATCATAAGGTCTTTGAACTTTGTACATCTGGCTAATTCTCTTGATAAAAATCTCAAGCCACAATGAGCCTAGGTCAATGAAGTACATGGGAACTGAGGATCAGTTGTGTTCAGTACATGTGATTTACTGGGCAATGGAGAATCATAGCACCGAAATGCCAGTGTATAAGGCATAGCAAAGTCCAGCACTCACCTTCTCTCCTTCTTTTTCTCCCCAGGTGGTAGGAGATACACTTTTCAGGTAAGATTTAATTTGAGGTTCTTCTAAGACCACTAGAAAAGCAAGAGGTTTGTAAATGGAAATATACAGAAGAACTATGGAATAATGTAATGATTAGGTGCAAGTCTGTCTGATGGGAGGAAGGGCAGTGAGACCAGGTGTCTTTCGCCTATCACTGAGGGTAAATGAGTCTCTCCTCTCTGCAGGTGTGAGTCACTCCTGAGTCATTGTCCAGAGACTGTCACCACCCCAGGGATCTTCTTTTATTACACTTTGATATGGGAAATGCTTAAATACTTCAAAGGTGAGAATCTGCACTGAAGTTATTGAACTTAATTTCAAAGAACCCAAAGTATTCCTTGATGGCTTGGTTAATGCAGGTTGAGTGGGTGGGTATCCAGGGAAGCCATGATATTTTCTCAGCCCCCAGACTAGCTACAAGTCAGCCAATAGAGCCCCAATATTGTTACTTTGTAGCAATGCAAAGATTTTTTTTCTACAAAATTTGCTCATGGGAACAGAAAACCTAGAATAGTGGGAACCCTGTGTAGTACTTGTTTGCCCATTTAGGTCTTGAGAAGCTAAACCTCTCAACTGCTTATTCTCTTTTTTCAGTGGATGTGACCCTGGATCCTGAAAGTGCCTGTCCATATCTCATTGTGTCTGATGATCTGAAAACTGTTGTACACAGAGGCTACCAGCAGACTGTAACTTTCATGCCTGGCCGATTTAAAGACAATATTATTTTGGGGGCTCAGATCTTCATATCTGGGATCCACTATTGGGAGGTTGATGTGGGAGACACTAGGCAATGGACAATTGGCGTATGTAAGGAGTCATTGAGTAGAGATGGCAATGTCCCCTCTGCTGAGGATGTCTTCCTTCTTTCATACATTAGGAATGGAAATCTGTACACTGCCATGACTACTCCTTCCTACTTCAAACTTCGAGTCAATGTCCCTATCTACAGGGTTGGGATTTTGCTGGACTGTGATGAAGGGACCATCTCATTTTATGATGCCTTGAAGAAATGCTTCGTATATCATTTCCCTCACTTCCCCTTCCCTGGGCCTCTTAGACCCCTCTTTTCTCCTTGTCCTGGAATAGGGGAAGAGAGTGGAATTCCAATGACCATTAGGGATTTATAATATTTATTCCTGAAATAGCTTCTTCTTAGACATTTCCTTTTTTTTTTTTTGAGGAAATCAGAGTTAAGTGACTTGTCCAGGGTCACACAGGTAGTAAGTATCTGAGGACAAATATGAACTCAGGTCCCCCTGACTTCTTACTTGTTATTTGTATAAGTTGTTGACTTTTAATAAAGATGTGTGACTATCACTGTGTAATCTCATTAAAAGTTGGGGAAAATGACTTCTTGTCTTATCTCAAGTATGTCAGGAGCTGCATAATGATCATAGCAGCCATATATTTGGGGGAAGCAGATGATAAAAGCTCCAATTGCGGCCCCCTCTTATTCAGACATATGGTGAGAGAAAGTAAAAATTGGGTATTTGATCAGGAGGATCTGAGCATTAAGGAATCGCTCTTTCAGGGGATCTTTAGTGGACAAGGATCACAAGATGCAGGTGTTAGGTCCAAACCTAGACTATAATCAGTGAGAAGCAGAGATCTACCTGGAGTATGAACCTGAGGATTCAGGAAAAAAGTGGAGTGATCATTACCACTGGCCCTTACCATTATTTTTAATGTCACCAACTCATTTCCTTAGGAGAATAAATATTCATCTGTGTCTAGGGCATTCCTGGCCCATGCTTTATGGAGGCCTTTTCTGAGAGGTTTTATCTGTCACATTACATAATTTTGAGAAATTGGATTGGGACATGTACAGAAAGCATGTTTCATTAGAGGGAGGACATTTAAACTCTGGAGAATTTAACACAGAAATAGCTTTACCAAGTCAGGTTGGCACCTTCTATACAACTTGCAGTGCTTCAGAGCACTGAGAGATTAAGTGATTTGTCCAAGGACCAATAGGCAATATCTATATGGCTGGGGTGGGACTTGACCCGGACCTTCATGTCTTTTGAGTCCATCCTTCTACTCAGAATACCATGCTACCTCTCTCAATTCTATGTGGTACAATAATATTCTGTTACATTCATGTATCATAATCTATTCAGCCACTCTATAATCTATGGGCACATATTTTGTCATATATTTTTCCATTCTATAAAAATAGTTGCCATGGATTATTTTGTATAGACAGGAACATTTTCTGTCCCTGAATTCCCCATTACTTTAGTTCTATAAAGGAATTCTTTGGTAGTTTATTTTGAAAAGCACTAAATATATAACATCCATTTTAGGGAATATTGTTATTTCTATCACATTAGCATGTCCCAACCATAAACAATGGTTTTTCTTTTCCCAATTACTTATGTCTTCTTAAGGAGTTTTGTACTTTCATTTACTGATCCTATATGCGATTTGGTATATTAACTCCCTGACACCTATGACTACTTGTGAATAGGAAAGGTAAATAATAGGCTATTCTTGGACATTACATGGTGTCTTTACATTGGTTATAAACACTTCATAAAGTGTAGGGCCAGAAATAACAAATAATCCTTTGCTGATCCTTTCATTTTTGTTTTTACTTAAAGCTTTTATTAGTGTGAGTAGAGCCTAGCAATAAGCTTTTTCTACCCATATTGAGAGACGGTTATGTTCTCTCTCTAAAATTTTAGCCTTTGAACATTACCTGGGGTGAGGGGGCACTTGTGGTTAAATAATTTTTCCCAGGGCCACACAACTGGCATGTGTATCTTAAGCAGAAATTGTGCTTAATTGTTCCCACCTACTAGATCAGAATTCTTTCCATTATACTGTGATTCACAATCAAAATAGGCATTAATCAAGGAAAGGAGCAAAAGAAGCAGAGAAGAAAAAAGTCAAAGTGTCTTAAGTAAAGAGTGAGTCAAAAAATAACTAAATGGAACCATAAATGTTTTGATCATAATAATGAGACAACATAGCAAAACTCATAAGAAGAAGGTTCAGCATTACTGCAATGCAAATTTATACCTCTGAAAACATACATTAATACACTATGAAGAGAAAAAAAATTAAATTTATGTTGAAATAAAAATGACCTGGGAAAGAAACAAACTAATTTCAGAAGTAAGAGAGAAGAAAATTTTACAATCAGAGCAGAAACATCTTTAAAGCCTCATAATATAAAGACTATCAAACTAACATTTCTAAAAGATCATTTATCAAAGTTTAAAAAAGTAGACTGATACAAATAATATAGTAATCTAATACAAAAAAATACAGAAAAATCAAACCATTCAAATAAAAACCATATGGCAAAGAATTTTGAGGGGAAATTTAAAATAAAATAACGTAAAATGATGGCAAAATTATGTACCACAAAAAAACATCTAAAGGTGTTTTTGAGTATCTACAAGAAATACATTATCTGTGAAATGATCCAACCATTTTGGAGAGCAATTTGGAACTATGTTCAATGGGCCATAAAAATGTGCATACCCAGCAATAGCACTTCTAGGGCTATATCCCAAAGAGATCATACAAATAGGAAAAGGACCCACATGTACAAAAATATTCATAGCAGCTCTTTTTGTGATGTCAAAGAATTGGAAATTGAGAGGATGCCCATCAACTGGGGATAAATTAAAATAAATGAATAAAAAACAAAAAAATTAAAAAAAGAAATACATTATCTAAATCATCAAAGTACGAAAGAAATATCTCAAATATCTTGAAAGACCTATCTTCAAAAGAGAATTCAATTAGGTCATTTATGAATTCTCAAAACATATTTTCAGTATTGTTAGAATTATAAATTATTTCTATGAAAATTTAAATACTAATAACTCCATTGTGGGAGTTGATTCTGACATGTAGCACGGGGGTGTTGTTGTTGAAGGGAGGCAGAATTGAGATCTCTAGTCTCTTCCCCCCCTACCCTTCTCTGAGACCACACCCAGGTGAAACTGTCTCACCAAGCTAAACCAAGTTGAGGGTAACCAACAGGCCTCAAACCCATTAGTGAGTTAGAGGGATGTGTGCCCCAAGCTTGTAAAAACTCCCCTGGTAGAATAGGTGGATGAGAACAATTTGTTCCAGTGGCCATGAAGCAGGCTCTGTGGAGTGCTTAGAGCTTGGTCAGACATCCAAGATGCCAAGGTCATCCACTGCATCCCTGCCATTGCCAATTATTGTCTTGACTCTTGTCATTGCCACTGGACTTTAGATGACTCTAGAGAGTGAGGCCAATGACTCTGTGCAACTCTGCCTCATTTAAATGCAATTCATGCTCTAGTCAAGACATCACTCCATGATGTCATTGATCCTCTTCAAAAACGAACAATGAACAACAATGGTGCCCAAACATAGTCACTTCTGTCACCTGGGGTCTTAATAATAAACTAATCTTCCTACATATAGATAACAAAGCTGATAGAGTTAGGAAAAGAGTTATTCCTTTTTATAAAGGATGCCGAAACATTTTCTACTCCTGTTTGGTGACCAAGCAGGGATCGCCCTCAAAGTATCCAAGTGCTGAGTCATTGGTCAAAAGCATGAATACATTCACCCTCAAAGTACTCAGGCACTGAGGTAGTCAACATGATCATACACATACATATACACCCTGCAATGAATTCTAGGTGTGAAAAAAGATTCATCTAGCAACCCTATGAAGGGTAGTTGGCAGGAGAGATTGGATGTAGGGAGCCCAATTATGAAGCTAGTATGTGAGTCCAAAGCTTTATCATAGATAGAGATAATAACAATAGCTGACATCTATATTGCACTTAGTATGTGACAGACACTGTGCTGAGCGCTTTACAATTATTATCTCATTTGATCCTCACAACAACCCTGAAAGATAGGTATTATTCTCATTCTACAAAGGAAGAAACTGAGGTAAACTGAGCTTAATCAACGTGCCCAGAGTCTCACAGCCAGTAAGTATCTGAAGCTAGATTTGAACTCTAGATCAGACAATCTATCCACTGCACCACTGTGATGTTACTGGAGGTAGGCAGCTTTGAATAACGCTGGACACACTGGCAATATTCCCTTCCACCCCCCCACACCTGAATATTCTAATGGACCAAGTGAACAGGCAGGCATGTGATCTGGCATTATTAGCCCCTGAGTCAGCTCTTTTCCTCCTTCTTTAAAGCCCTCAGTATAAAGTTAGTGCACTAGATTAGCTTTGAGATTGCTTTTAGCCTTAAATCCATATCATCTTTACTCCTGCTGTTTCCTACATGATGCACCTTCTCCCTACTCAAGTAACACTTTGTTCTGGAAGCTTCCTGAAGTCCTCAACCATCTTTCTCCTTCTGATAGCACAGAATAGAACCAGAGCGTCTTGTTTAGAAGGGACCTCAGATAGCCTTTGGTGTGACCCACCACTTACTAGGTACTTTATTTTTCAGTTTTCAGGAATGGTTTGGTATTTTAGCTGTCAAAGCCCCTATTGGAACTGACTCCATGTTAGCAGGGACATTTTAATCTAAATCTAAATTTCCTCCTTTCTTTGCAGTTGTTCAGTCATGTCCAGATCTTTGTGACCCCTTTTGGGGTTTTTTTGGCAAAGATACTGGGGTCATTTGCTATTTCTTTCTCTAGTTCATTTGACAGATGAGGAAACTGAGGCAAATAGGGGTAAGTGACTTACCTAGGGTCAAATAGCTAGTAAGTATCTGAGGCCAGATTTTAACTAAGGATATTTTTTCAGGGTTTAGGATGCAAAGGAAGAAATCTAAAATCGTTTTTATTTATTTATGTGGGACAGAAATGAAAAGTCTGGATAAGCTGTCTGAAGCTTCATTTCCCCAAACCCATAGCACACACTGAGGTAATGATGTAAAAGCCTGGGAATTCTGTAGTATCAACTGAGGTCACATGGTAAAACTTATTTTGGAAGGTCAACAGTATTTCCTTCATTCCAATGATTCCACAATTAGTCCAG